CCCCAAAACCCCAAAACCCCAAAACCCCAAAACCCCAAAACCCCGAGATTATATTACCTAATTGAGATTCATTAAATCTAATAATATATAAACCTGCACTGTTAAACAGTGCAAGTTTAATAATATGAGTAGAATAATCGAAGTTATATTGCAAGAATTTTATCAAATTACAACTTTTTACCATAGTACCAGAATTTGAGGAAGTTGGTATACACAATGCTAACCTCGGTATTCTTGACTATCCTTCTCTAGATAACCTGGCTGAGAATTATTTCGAAAAATCTGACTGTTGTAGTTTTCCAGAGATCCCTTCTGAAGGTCGTGATAAGAAGCTTCCTCTTGAGTCTCCATTTTCTATGAGAGTACTATTGCTGGATAACTTAGTTTTACTACTCGAGCACTCAAAGATTTTGAATTTATTGTCTCATTGACAAAATACTTTGCCTCATGCTTCTAGAAGTATTTTCTGAAATGGGCTTAATGGAGCTCAATAACTTGAGTAAGCTCTATGCTTTTGTGAAAATGATTCTTTTTCTGTAAATTCATTTGGCTTATGGCCATAATTAGATGAATTTACATCATCTGAGAACGGAAGAACCTTGAAATTAGCCTGTTGGTTCGATTCAATACTATCTATTTCTCTTTGTCTACACAGTTATGAAAATTTTACCTGAGAAATGTACTATTCAGATCGATTGGTGAAACATTCACCTCGATTTGTTGGGCTTTGACTGTAACGCTATCTTTGTCTAAGTATACATATGCTGATTCCTGAGGTAGCTCTACATCTCTGTGGGCCCCATATTGGTCTTTGAAATACTTCGATGAATATTGAGGTCCTTGTTCAGAGTATCTGTAATGTGATGGCTCAATATTTCTCCTATTTCCTCTTTTGGCTTTCATGTGAAACAAGATTATCTTGGCTAATGAGAGTGTCTCGAATATTGGAATCACTATTCTTAATTAGAAAGCTTATCTAATGCTTACTTTTGATATTTCGGTCTTGATATAAAATCTTCTTTCCTACTTCTTAACCTGGCATCTGTAGTATTATGAATCAATGACACGGCTTTCCAGAAATTTTCAGATTATATAACCAATGTTTTTATTATGAATAAAGTTATTAATTTAGTATAGATAACAGGCTTAACTTTTATTCTTAGTGAGAATTAGCAAATTTGAAGAAGAACTTTATTTTACTATTTTACCATCTTTAAAAATATTTAGTTACAAGAAAATAGTGAAGCTTTGGATTTTTCTAAAATTAACATACCATCTTGAGATTTCCCCATTATATACTCAATTGGGTTTTCAATGCTTAATTCTTTCTTAATGTTATCAAAATAATGCTGAGCATGACTCCTGATTTGTATTGATGTTCGCGTTGGAACTGATTTCTCTAACTTCGACCAATCCTTTCCATATTTCTTGAGACCTAAAAATATGAAAAATTAATACAATCAACAAACAACTTGTGCTCATGAGTCTTCCATCTTCCTGTTGTTTTGGGCCCTTTTCCTTCGCCTATAAGGGTAAATGATTTCTATTCATCATCTCTTGAGCTAATTTCTTGCCAGAGCTCATTTTGATAATTTCGGCAAATTTTTTAAACTGTATATAGTCTTTCCATACTATGAATTCTTGATGGAGCAAAGGGAAAAATTTGCTAAAATAGCTTTTAGCATTGAAAAATTAGTCTAAACCTTGTAGGATTCCTCTCAGGTATTCTTAAAGTCTCAAAAGCAAGAGGTTAGGTTAGGAGTATTATAATTTCGCTTTTTGAAAAGTTCCTTATCCCTGTTATAAAATAATACTACCACCCCTGAGAAATAGAGCATGAGTTAGAGATGCCAAAATTTGATCATTTTGCTTATAATTGACTAAAAAAATTCCCCATATTTCTAAAATATTTATCTGAGCGAAGATTACGAGATGTCTTCTCCATTTCCCAGAATAATTTTGTCAAAGTGGTGATCTCTAAAACTAAGTTGTTGATGCTAAAAAGCCTTGAGAACATAATGCTTGAAGTCTTTTAGCTAAAGCAGTCCTAAAAATGCCAGCATCTTCTAGATAGAGTACCTTTTGTAGTCTTATTCTCCTCCATTTCTTATTTTAGACTTATCAATAATTTTATATCAATGATAATCCAGTGACATGGGGTTTTGGGGTTTTGGGGTTTTGGGGTTTTGGGG